AAAAAAAAAAAAAAAAATTAAAAAAGGGTTGGAGATATACCTGTAGGTTCTATCCCCAGTTCCAAAATGAGATTGCTCTGTCAAACTGTTTATTAAGTATTGTTTGATTAAAAAAGTAAGGGAACATTATTATTTTCTCATTTCTTCTTCAAAAGTAATTGTTTAGCCTTTGCAGAAATAACTCTGAGGTTAGACTAGTCTGGCTTCAACTCAAAGTATTTTTTAAAAGGTATAAACCAGGAACTAGCTATAACACATAAATGGTCATGAAACATTGTACACATGGCTTTTGGCACTTTCTCCTGCCCTGCATCACCTCCTCTGCTGCCAGTTCTGGTGCCACACATTTCTGTTCTGAGGGAGACTGCTTGTGAAGCCTCTGGCTGGATCACAGTCCTCCGTGGCCACTGCACTGCTGCCCAGAAGAGCTGGCCATGTCACTCAGGCTTTCCATCCACTCTGCTCCCATGGAGCCATCAGTTCCTCCCAACTGATGATGGAGATTAGGCATTAAACAAAGAGAACTGCTAGTTCATCTACTTCAGTCTTAAAACATCAGCTCTGGGCTGGAGGCGTAGCTCCGTTGTAGAACACACTTAGGCATGAGGCCTACACTCGATCCTAGTGCCAAAAAAACAAAAATTCATCAGTACTAAACTTATCTCTAAATGTCTTTGAAATTCTTAACTTTTCAACCCAGCAGTTTATAACAATGTCTTTAATTTTCCCTGGCTAGTCATTTCAAGCTTGACCCTCTCCATGGCAAGTACCATACATATACTCTATTCAAAGAAGCTGAGACAAGCTTTAATTTTTTCACAGGCATAAGGAACATAAACATTGAAAAATACTTAAAATACCTGCCCCCAAAAATGTCTCCTCATCACATTAAAGTTAAAATGAAAGAGCAATGTTGGCATGTACACACAGAACTGCACAGTGCTGAGGAATACTCCCCTGCAGCTATGGTGTGCTAGCCCCTAAATTATAGACCTGGCTAGATCATTAATACAGATTATTTATTGAGGAATCATGTTTTTAATTGGCTTCAAATGCATATGATAAGTCCTCTAAGACCTAAATACTGCCACTGGGAATATTTTCACATAGAACTGGCCAAACTATTTTAAAATGAATCGAAAATTTAATGTTTGCAAGGATGTGCAAAAATGTGACTCTGTCTGTCCTTAGTGCCAGGTTAGCCCTGGTTTGGGGAAAATAATTTCTGTGGTATGCAAGGGTACATTTAACTGTTTTTTGTTTTGCCTTTTTGTTTGTTTGTTTGTTTGTTTAAACTTAAGGCTAATCTAGATGAAAACCAGATGAGTTCACCTACATTCCTTAGAGCTTTAATGACAGCCGTTTGTAAAGCAGCTATTATAGGTAAGTGACATTTCTGGAAGTAGGTTTTATTTATTTATTTTTTGTGTGTGTGTGAATGGAAAATTTATTTGCTCATTTCTTGCATTTGAAGTACTCTTCTGAAAGTAGGTTTTAGTATCTGAAATCGTTATTATTTCCACTACTGATTATATGGTCTGATTTTTTATTGTCTTCAAATCTTGTTGTGTATAGCTCAGTTTTTGTGCAAATGGGTAGCATTTCTGTCTACCCTGCCTGACCATCTCAAATATGGGACAAATAGATGCTCTTATCTCCAAAGAATCCAATTTGAGCARCTACTGTACACCTTGTATTCTACAATTCAATAAGTTGTTGCATGCATCCAGGGATGGGAGGGTTTGTACTTCGTTGTATGTGGCTCCCCTGCCTGTCCTAGTGCTGGAGATGGAACCCAGGGCCTCACTTATGCTAGGCACCCACACTTCCACTCAGCTACATCCCAGTCCACATGGAGCTTTTTCCTTATCTATTCACCTCCATCATTCAAGACCACCTCCTTCCATTTTGGAGTTATAATGAAGGGGTTCAGTATTCTTAACCTAATATCAAYGGAGGGCTTTCTCATCAGGAAAGTCACATTTTATAATAAATGCCCATATAAGGAAAGAAAATACCAGCATTTTCTCCTGCTCTGTGTTGACTTGATTTTATGGGAATTGACATTTTTATTGGATATTTATGAATTATGTAGGTGAGATAAAATTAGGATTGGTAGAAGCCCTAAATATTCCTTATTATTTAACAATATTTATGAGGACATCAACTTAGCGTTAGGTGGAAATCCACATTTTTGGCACTCAAGTAAGAAAAAAAATCTTATCAATTCAAGAGTTGTCTCAGAATTTCAAGTCTTTGTCATTCCACAGTAAGCTCTCTGGGGCTGGGGTTGTAGTTCAGTGGCAGGGCACTTGCCTAGCATGGGTGAGGCACTGGGTTCAATACTTAGCACCACATAAAAATAAAATAAAATAAAGACATTCTGTTCATCTACAACTATAAAAATTTTACAAAAGAAAAAAAAAGCTGCTGGGGGTGGTGGCACATGCTTGTAATCCCAGTGGCTTTGGAGAATCAAGAGTTCAAAGCCAGCCAACTCAGTGAGACCCTGTCTCTAAATAAAATGCAAAATAGAGCTGGGGATGTGTCTCAGTGGTCGAGTGCCCCTGAGTTCTATCCCTGGTTATCCCCTTCCTCCACAAAAAAAGAAAGCTTCTGGCCATGCCTGTTATCCCAGCAGCTAAGGACGTTGTCAGGAAGATCAAAAGTTCAGGGCAAGCCTCACCGTCTTATCAAGGCCCTAAGCATCTTGTCAAGACCCCTGCCTTTAAATAAAAATAGTAAATGCTGGGGATGTAGCTAAGTAGTAAAGCTTCCCTGGGTTCAATCCTCAGTACCAAAAAAAGAAAGACTTTCCTGCCACTTAATTTAGCTTCAGAATTTTAATTTAAGATTTTCTGTAGGGTGAATTGTTTTCAAAGTGAGTTTTAAAGTGAAAAA